TACTGAGATAATACACACCTATTGAACTATAAAAAGTAAGAACAGAAATACTGAGATAATATATTACTATAGAACTATAAATATAAAAAGTAAAAACAGAAATACTGACATAGCTAGCTAATACATAACATTTCAACAACGAAAAAAAGAGAGCTTAAATTCATAAGATACGTGACGTCCAGATTAAAAACAAACAAACAAACAAACAAAAAAAAGAGTAAAAACAAACTTTCCTGTTAGTTCTCCATTAGACAGTCTGATTGGATGTGCCAAAATATAAGCAACTAATTTTGGATCAACAGGTACGCCATCTGGAAATCTGGGATCCTGAAGTAAATATATATATATATATATATATATTCGATAATTGTAATAAAGAAAGGATGATCAAAATACGTTTTTCAGCAAGATAAATTTTCACCTTCTTATGTGATAATCGAAAGTGTTTTAACTCATACTAAAAGATGGATTTAAAAATGATTAAATGACCATAGTTTGAATATCAATATTTAAGAAATTTCCAACTAAATTCTTTGATCATGTTTTAATTATATATGACTTTTAAGATGATAGAGGTGAGAGATTTGTCTGTAATTGCCCATGTAATAAATCTGGGAACAAAAGTTTATTTGATAATTTTTGTACATGAAGTCTGTTATTGCTTGAGTTTCCATTTACTTGCTGCTGACTGTTTATACAAGATTGTTTCGTTTAAGATTTATTTTTTAGTTTACTTAGTAATTTAATATTTAATGGTTATTTAATTTCATAACAAGAATGTCAAAAGTTAATTATTTTAAAAGCAATAGTTATGACAAGTTTTGTTATGTAACACTGTACAAGTCGTACGTTGTGTGTGTGTAGTTTAATTGTTGTACTAGGCTTTTGTAATATTGTTGATGTCGTCTTACTGGAAGCTTCTAAGTTTTTCTGTTGCGTGTAGTATTGTTGTCACTAGAAGGCTAGAAATTTCTAGGTCACAGTCCGAATATATATATAAACAGGCGTCCGATAATGTATAAGTAAAAAAAAAAGAAGTTAAGTGAGAGTTAATTAAATTTAGAATGAGTGATTGATAGTTTAGATGCGATGGGCGATTTCTCAAGTGAGTCTCACAACTGTATTATAACAACAGAGATAGGAAGAATAGTTTGTCTTGTCAATAGTGTTCTAAAGTAAGTGAAACAGCCTATGTGGACTTTTGACACAAAAGATAATTATTTAAATTTTTGTATACAACTTTGGTAACTCACAGAGTAAAGAAAGTGAATTTATCACTCATTATATTGTGATAACAGAGTATATGAGAATAATTGTCTCGTCAAAGGGTATTCTAAATTAATTGAACCCGCCTGTGTGAACTTTGACGAAAAAGAGACAATTATTTAAAGTTCTGGATAACCAATAGTATAACGATTTTTTGTACTTACGTTTGACTTGTTTTGAATATATTATTTCAAAACAAGTGGATTGTGTGCTGTCCGTTTATTGTTCAAATTTGTCGCCAACAAGTCACATAATCCGACTCTATAAAACTGAAACTGTCATTTGACAGTAAAGCTTTCTATATGTTCTTCTTTAGTCAGAATTGGAATCATTGGTGGAAAAAAGTGTTTTGATCCCACAAGTTTCTAGTTTTCAGCAGCTTCATGTGATATTAGGTCGTCAAGAAATTAATGTCGCTTTTTTAGATGAAATAACTCGAAAACAAAACATTTATTTAATGAAATAATCTCCTTTCTTATCGATGATGTTTTCCATCTTACAATCAGGTTCTTAATGTCCTGATTAAAGAA